TAGAAATAAAGGATGCCCCACGCCCTTTCCGGGGAAACATACAGGCCACTAGAATGTAGGACACAGTAAACAAGTACTTAAAGATTTCTCCCTAAGTATAATACCCCATATTGATCTGAGAAAGCGATATTGATAAAAACGAAGACAAAGTCGAGAAAATATAATTTTTTTCGGGTTAACATAACTACATATGTACATCAGGAGGAATGTACTACGTTTGCCAGAGAGCATTTTAACAATTATGATGTCGTCTTAATTGCTTTTTCTAAGAAATAGTAAGTCCGAATCAATTTCACAAATTACCGACCTCCAAGTTATTATGATCTTACTAATGAGGATGTAGCATGCGAATGTGTCATCTTACAATGTATATATCATATAGGCTTACAGCACACATCGAATGTGTCATCTTATATATTATATAGGCTTACAGCACACATCTAATGTGTCATCTTATATATCGTATAGGCTTACAGCACACATCTAATGTGTCATCTTATATATCGTATAGGCTTACAGCACACATTGAATGTGTCCTTTTATATATCATATAGGCTTACAGCACACATTGAATGTGTCCTTTTATATATCATATAGGCTTACAGCACACATTGAATGTGTCCTTTTATATATCATATAGGCTTACGTCACACTTCGAATGTGTCATCTTATATTTCATATAGGCTTACATCACACATCGCATGTGTCATCTTATATATTATATAGGCTTACAGCACTCATCGAATGTGTCATCTTATATTTCATATAGGCTTACATCACACATCGCATGTGTCATCTTATATATTATATAAGCTTACAGCACACATCGAATGGGTCATCTTATATATCATATAGGCCTACAGCACACATCGAATGTGTCAACTTATATATCATATAGGCTTACAGCTCACATCGAATGTGTCATCTTCTATATTATATAGGCTTACATCACACAACGAATGTGTCATCTTATATATCGTATAGGCTTACAGCACACATTGAATGTGTCCTTTTATATATCATATAGGCTTACATCACACATCGCATGTGTCATCTTATATATTATATAGGCTTACAGCACACATCGAATGTGTCCTTTTATATATCATATAGGCTTATAGCACACATCGAATGGAAAACCTTTCAGACCCGGACATACAGTACTACTATCAATTCAGTCAATCCACAGGCGCATATTTGCCTTATAAGCAAATAAGCAGGTGCTTGCACATAATATAATCAACAAATATACTATCTAATTTCTACGTATTATGTGTTATGTATTACGTATGTATTACGTTATGTCCGAAATAATGATAAAGCGTTTGTGCGGTTTAAGAGCCATTAAATTCGGCTGTTTGTGTCCATTTGGTAACAAATAATAAGAAAATAAATAACTTGTTTAGCAAATCTTCGACAATTCTTACACAAACTAAGCAATGTTTCTTTACATGACTTTTTTTCCAAAAAACAAAGTGAGCCGATACGACTTCATGTATTGGTGTAATACAAAATCAAAATGCTATTAGGTCAAAATGAGACATGTTTTTGACATTCGTCCTCATGCTCAACCTAGAGATTTGAACACATATAAACATGGCATCCAAATGAATATTTTCATGTTTTGTCCATTTTGTCTGGCATTGTCCTCAACGGCATCAATGAGAATGTTGAGATTATCCGTAATGAGAGGACCGATAGGATCGGTAAATTGGTATTGGACGAGGACTAAGTGGTTGAGTGACCATTTGGTCATCTAACGCTCCGATAGTCTATTTATAGATATATCCGTTTGAAGCATTCTTCCGTGCCTGTAAGAAATGTTTGGTGAACAATTTTTTATATAATACGAAATATTTGCCAGTATTTGATTATTCATCAATAGATATTGCTATTTTGTTGGGGTTTTTTTTACATTTGTTTTTTCAAAAACAAATATTTGCAAAATCTAAACGCGTGTAAAAGTGTAATGTATGGCTGATGTTCTTAATGGCAAAACGATTACATTCGGAAACAGTGCTGAATGGTTATAAGAATGGATGAGGAGGAGAAAGGAGAAAGAATGATCATTTGATGAAGTTCTAATTGTAGCGAATGAACTTAAATATCAAATCATAATCTGTTATTCTACATGTTTCTTGCAGCAATCATAAACAAAATATATCTATACAGATTTTTTTTTTTTACAAGCATGGTTACATATTTTTTGTATACAACATTACGCTATAAAATTTAAACATGTTATTACAGCAAAATACGTTTTTGTAATTTACTGTATTTTAGAGAAAATCGGTCAGCTCGCTTCCAGGAAAAAAAGCAGGAAGCAAATCATGCTATTATACGGAATATGAATTGTCACAAAACATTACAAGATACAAGATAAATACTGTTTTAACCCCGGATCTAAATAAAACTCAAAACATGTTCTTAACAGATTGTACACATGTAGAACATATCTATTTTTCGTGTACCTGCCAATTTAGCATTGTCGGTTAAGCATTACTCGGTCTATAAAACGTTTTATCCACCTTGCGATGGTGAGATACTCCTTCAAGATGAACAACAAGCTAGCATTGACTGTGGTATTGGTGGTTGTTTCTCTTCTATGTTTAGGAACAGCTCCAGTCCTAGGTGAGTATCACTTACATTTTTATTGACGTGTTGAATTAGACATTAGGTATTGATGAGATTTATAGAAGAACAGAAGTCTAAATGTTATCGGTTCAGTTTTTTTAATAACATATCGATTCAGCAGGATTTCAAATATAGCCATAACTTTCTGATTACTTTCGTTGAACGTAATTGATTGTAAAACTTATGTTTGAATTGATCACCTTACTGTTAAATTCTTTGAACGCCGGATAGTCCGGAAAACTTTCATTGAAAATGCTTTTGCTCCTTCTAGCGCCAATTATTCACGTATTGGCGCTATATGGTACATTTCGTTGATTAATTTTGGAATTTTGTTGAGGTGAGTATGTAATCTATACAAACCCATATTCACAGAAATAAAAGTCCTTAATTGTAAAATTAGATGAAGATTTGTTTTTCATTAAACATGATGGAGCGTTAGCGTATCATCGAAAGAAAACAAATGAATTTCAGAGAGTATTGTGACGTACCTTTGTGACGTACCTATTGTGACGTACCAATTGTGACTTGTGACGTACCTATTGTGACGTACCTATTGGAGACGTCTTACTTGAAAGTAAATAATCGGACTCAATATCACAAATTACCAACCTCCATGAGTCAACTAATGAAAATTTGTGGAAACATGATATGATCTTATTAAATATTACACAGGTCAGTGCCAGTGCGCAACAGGATGCCCGTTTTTCTTTTACATCCAAGCGGGTTACTGTAGACCATTTGATGGAAGGGTTCGATGCTGTAGATTAGAGTACGTAGTAATTTGATGGAAGGGTTCGATGCTGTAGATTAGGGTACGTAGTAATCTGATGGAATATACATATAATTATTATCACTAAAGCAGAATGGAAAATGTTGATGTCTTAATATATGTAGCGTTTTATGTAAAATAAAATATTCCAAAGGGATGTGAATTTCAAATGTATTTGGTAGTGATGTCCATACGTTTTACTATACTCGGACATTATCGTTACAGGTGGCCAGGTGGAACAGGAAGCATGTGAGTGCAGCATTTGTAACCGACCTCGTGACCAGCAGTTATAGGTAACTTCTCCAATACGGTATACTTTTTACTTTTAACTTCTCCAATACGGTATACTTTTTACATTGATTTATTTTACAACAATTGTAAAACAAGTTCTATCGGCTTATATTAATCTCTCTTGATTAACATTAAAAAATGTAGAGCCAACCTCGTAAGGTTGTATAGGTGGGTTGATCAGTATGGCACTTCGCGCTGAGAGTGGATACCAAAAGGTATGCAGGGAGATTGGTGTTGAATATGGAAATATAGTAGGTGGGGTTACCAGTTTTAACAGATAAAACGCCCCAGTTTCAGCTTATGTTTTGTAATGATTTACTTATATAACATAAAGAGAGATTTAGTTGGCGGGGTACCAATCACAACACAGCTCAGGCGTTACCGGTTAGTAGGTTTTATTTGGCCAAATCAAACCAACTAACTGTTAAAATATTCTAATTCCCAATACAGCTTCCATTTTGAAGCTTCAGCTATGTGTGCAACATTTTGCTATTCCTTCTTTAAATATGTAGTCTTAGGTTGTCCATGAAACGCATTTATCAAATTTTGTTACGGATAATGGGCAAGTTAAAATGAAGGATTTCATTCTAAGAGTTTGTGTTTTCATTCAAGCTATGCTCAGCACAATGACTAAAATATGTTGATTAAAATAACATGTTTTTTCTGACCAATAATTTGTCAATGTTTATTCCGTCTTTTCGTATTGCAGGGTTATCTGTTTGTGAGCAGGTACTGATTGTTACGTCATTAGTTTGTGTGAGAAAATTACATCGTTTTCTCAAAAAATTATGATGTTACTCTCACAAACAAATGACGTAACAATCAATACCTGCTCACAAGATTGCATCCAATGCATTTCACGTTCGTCGTGTGATTTTGTTTGGATTTGACCTCCTCACAACAGCTAAGATCATATAAAGACGGTATCCATGTGATATGTATCGTTCAATAGATTTGTCGCTTAGGTTCAAAGTTAAATTATCTGGCATGCTGTGAAATTATATTAAATTTTCTAAGAGAATAAAAACAGTTGATATAACTTTGAGTGACTGGGTTTTACATTCTGTTTTCAGCAGGCACCATGGCAAACCTGGACAATGATGCAGTGACAAGTTCCGATGAATTACTGAAATATCTGTCATTTTCTACCATATGTGGTGCCATTAAAAATGTTGCTTTTCTTTAAGTGTTATTCTTAATTCCATATGATTGAAAATTTGGCTATAATGTGGAAAAGAACAATTTAGTCATACTTTAATTGTTTTTCCCCTTAGTTCAGCTCAATGAAAGAGAAACAAAAATTAAATAAAATACTGTAACTATTTATTTACACAAATACAATCGATCAGAAAGTTCTGGGAATCCACTAACATCCTCACTGTCACACCCATTTAGGGTTGTAGGGTTTGGGTGTCATCTCTGGATGAAGACGGAAGCCAGGCGGGGTAGGTCCCATCGTTTTCTTTGGAACGACATCAGAGCTGTCAAGTAAAGATAACAAGAATACAAAAAACAGACAACACATCGTCTTCACTTACAACTAGATAACAAAAAACAGACAACACATCGTCTTCACTTACAACTAGATTACAGAAAACAGACAACACATCGTCTTCACTTACAACTAGATAACAAAAAACAGACAACACATTGTCTTCACTTACAACTAGATTACAGAAAACAGACAACACATCGTCTTCACTTACAACTAGATTACAGAAAACAGGCAACACATTGTCTTCACTTACAACCAGATTACAGAAAACAGACAACACATTGTCTTCACTTACAACTAGATTACAGAAAACAGGCAACACATTGTCTTCACTTACAACCAGATTACAGAAAACAGACAACACATTGTCTTCACTTACAACTAGATTACAGAAAACAGGCAACACATTGTCTTCACTTACAACCAGATTACAGAAAACAGACAACACATTGTCTTCACTTACAACTAGATTACAGAAAACAGGCAACACATTGTCTTCACTTACAACCAGATTACAGAAAACAGACAACACATTGTCTTCACTTACAACTAGATTACAGAAAACAGGCAACACATTGTCTTCACTTACAACCAGATTACAGAAAACAGACAACACATTGTCTTCACTTACAACTAGATTACAGAAAACAGGCAACACATTGTCTTCACTTACAACCAGATTACAGAAAACAGACAACACATTGTCTTCACTTACAACTAGATTACAGAAAACAGGCAACACATTGTCTTCACTTACAACCAGATTACAGAAAACAGACAACACATCGTCTTCACTTACAACTAGATTACAGAAAACAGACAACACATCGTCTTCACTTACAACTAGATTACAAAAAACAGACAACACATCGTCTTCACTTACAACTAGAATACAGAAAACAGACAACACATCGTCTTCACTTACAACTAGATTACAAAAAACAGACAACACATCGTCTTCACTTACAACTAGAATACAGAAAACAGACAACACATTGTCTTCACTTACAACTAGAATACAGAAAACAGACAACACATCGTCTTCACTTACAACTAGAATCCAGAAAACAGACAACACATCGTCTTCACTTACAACTAGATTACAAAAAACAGACAACACATCGTCTTCACTTACAACTAGAATCCAGAAAACAGACAACACATTGTCTTCACTTACAACAAGAATACAGAAAACAGACAACACATCGTCTTCACTTACAACTAGAATCCAGAAAACAGACAACACATTGTCTTCACTTACAACTAGATTACAAAAAACAGACAACACATCGTCTTCACTTACAACTAGAATACAGAAAACAGACAACAAATCGTCTTCACTTACAACTAGAAGACAGAAAATAATAACGTAAATATCCATAATACGTAATATACTAAAAATCAAAATACCTTTATTCCAGACTGTACATGTATACCAGGCAAAGATTTTAGAACTTATTCTCCACAGATAATTGGTCAATGAAATATAGGTTCCATAGATCTACAGACAGTGTGTTGGGCCAGACCTTAACCAAGAATTTTTTAACTTATATCATTAGTGCTGATAACATGAATTCAGAAAATACCTGTAATAATAAAGGAAGTAAAATAATTTAACAGACCACTTTTTCATTAACTACTATATTTCTCATTGAATCATACCCATCATAAGGTATAACTTCAAAGAAACTTGTCTTGTATATAGTTACATGTATTTAATTTTGTGGAACATACTAATATTTCACAGTTTTCCTGACCAGAACTAGGACTGGATACACTAGGGGTAACAATCACTTTCGCTCTGATCTACACCCCTGGAATATGTCATAGCAAAATTGAAGGCACGTGGATAACTATTTCATTGGTCTCAGGTAAAAAAAACTTACCAATCACTAAGGCTGACACCTGTCCTTTGAATATTACAAAGGAGCAACACCTGACTTCAAAGCCAATTGATTTTATCGTTAAGCAGCCGACATATTCTTGGATGTGCATCAAAGGATCAAACTAGTCTTCTCGTCTCATCCCTAAAGTGGTGCACACGAGCCTTCAATTTTACTATGACATATTCCAGGCGTGCAGAGAGTGAAAGTGAGCATAACCTCTTGAGTATCGAGGATGTGGAAGAAACTAAGTTTCAACACATGATGATAGTAATGATTTATGTTCATTCTCATTAGTTTATCATTCTCAGGTCAAAGTTATACTCTCTGAAGCTCCTAGTTTATACTTAAACAAGAGATCCAAGAGGGATCTTGGCGCCCACCTTTGTACCATCTTCATTAGTTCTTTGTCAGTTCGATCTTTTCTCTTCTTTCCTCTAATCTGTTTGATCGAGTCATGTTAACAGTAAATGCACCTTGAGGTAACTTTTGATCTAAACTTAATACTGATGTGTATGAAAGCCAACCTTCAAAGTGAGTTTGTCATTTCACATATTTACTAGTACAGTACTTAATGTGAAAGAAATAGAATCGATCATTGCAATATGAGAAAGATCTGTTTAGTTCTTCTTTTAATCCATTTTGTTTTTATGATCAGTCTCAAAATATAACATACACAACGAGGGATCAAGGGGAACCTACATTTAAAATTTGAGAAAGATCCCTCCCGTACTTCCCGAGAAATAGCGATAACAAACTTTCACTATCAAAATCCAAGATGGCTGCCTGTCGGCCATGTTGTTTATCCGATCAGTCTCTAAAATTGCCCTGCACAGCTAGGACCAAGGGGAACCTACATATAAAATTTAAGAAAGATCCCTCTAGTTCTTCCGGAGAAATAGCGGTAACAAACCCACACTATCAAAATCCAAGATGGCTACCTGTCGGCCATGTTGTTTATCCGATCAATCTCAAAAGTTGCCCTGCACAGCTAAGGACCAAGGGGAACCTACATATAAAATTTGAGAAAGATCCCTCTGGTACTTCTTGAGAAATAGCGATAACAAACTTTCACTATCAAAATCCAAGATGGCTGCCTGTCGGCCATGTTGTTTATCCGATCAGTCTCAAAAGTTGCCCTGCACAGCTCAGGACCAAGGAGAACCTGCATATCAAATTTGAGAAAGATCCCTTTAGTACTTCTTGAGAAATAGCGATAACAAACTTTCACTTTCAAAATCCAAGATGGCTGCCTGTCGGCCATGTTGTTTGTCCGATCAGTCTCAAAAGTTGCCCTGCACAGCTAAGGACCAAGGGGAACCTGCATATCAAATTTGAGAAAGATCCCTCTGGTACTTCTTGAGAAATACCGATAACAAGAATTGTTTACAGACGGACGACGGACGACGGACAACAGACGGACCACGGACGCAGGGCGATTTGAATAGCCCACCATCAGATGATGGTGGACTAAAAATAAATTCACGCAAAAGGATCTACACAGTAATCAATCAAATCTCTTCGGATAAACTCAATATTCAAATGCATAATGGCATGAACTTGACATCTGAAATTTCATCCATTCAAAATCTTGATACTAACCAGGTATATATATATACACACAAGCACACATAATGGGATAGGAGGATTTTATGGTGCAATTTAGCTGTTGTAAATGTCTTCAAAACAATATTTTATGTCCCTTTACTCTAACTTTCATGGTTAATTAATAGTTAACTGTTTGCAACTTTAAACATAAGTTTATTGTTATATAAGAAAACTGCTCATTGGGATGACCAAAAAATAATAAATGTCAATTAATATGTCTATATAGTACATATGTCCTTTTTCTAATCAACAGCCAGCACCCACTTGTTTAAAACTCTGACTGGAAATGCAAATTTTCAAAACATGGTTTTGGAGACTTACTTAAAAAATACAAATAAGCTTTTATTCCTTGTCTTTGGATGATAGTTTATTTTTTCAAAATATGCAAGTTGAAAATGTTGTGTTAAGCTGTCAAATCAGGCTTTGAAATCACAATGACCTGTCATGTTGACCTCTAATTACCATATTGATACAGTTGAGTCTATATTCATTTAGTGATCTTTCATTCAAAGAAACTGACCCTCCAAGTAAGCAGAAGTGTTACAGTTGAAACATTTGTAGCGTCTCATGATCAGGGCATGTACTGTACTAAATACACCTAAACAATGAACAGTTGGGATTACCGGAGAAAAATGCCTAAAATGAATAGTCCATACCAAGTTCAACAGGGTCAGTCATTCTGGTTTGATTATGCATGTTAACTGTTATATTCCCAATTTGCTTGGTTTTTGCTTGGTTTAATAAGTGTGACAAGGGAGGTAACTGTTACTTTGTGTGGTCTACAAGGATTGATTTTACTCGTATTTCCTGTCATCTAAAAGCTGAATATCATTATTTTTTCAATCTTCATGGGATACGGTCATACCATGTTAGGGCATGTCACTTAGGATGACCCCCTCATATCAAGGAGTGCGTTGTCAGAGTATATGGACAAAAGAAGCCAGTTTGTGAGTGAAATATTATCAGTAACACAATACGCAGGAGATACAAAATCCATAATGATCACTATCGTTCTATACTTTCCACCATTCGCTGTGTTATACATTTATTAATTTTTTGGGCCTTTTTTTATTTTCCTTGTTAATTCAGAACGGCTGGTTCTCTATTTCTTTTTCCCCAGAATGTGAGAAAATGACCGACACTTTATGAGTTATCTCCCTTCACTGAAGAATTTTCATAATATTCCTCGAGAGAATCTGCTTATTATACTTATGTTGTGGTAAAGTGACTTTATTTTCAGTAAAAACTCATTACACTATCATTTGTCCCGCGAAAAGATGGTGTTAGTGATGCCTGTATATCCATGAAGGTGGTTGTTTTTTATCAAATGGAAAATGGGACCACAAAATATTTATACTGTACTAACCTATTGAACTTTGATCTCAGACATAGCAGATAGGTTTCTTGAGCATATTTTGACTGCTGTTTCATATATGGACATCTAACTTGGTTGAAAATAATTAAATCATGAGAAATAGCTCTGTTGCATATTAAAATAGGGTCATTGCAGCTTTCTTTCAGCTTTTAACCCATTTAACTCTAAATTCCCATTTGAACCTTACCAAATCAGAGACTAGGTAATTCAAATATGTAGGGGTGAATGAGTTAAAAGTTATATTCGTACTTGTAATGTACAATAATAGAGTTTTATATACGGTAATGAAGAACTTGAGTCCTGGATCATGAAACAACCTAAGACCTTATTCTGACAATATGTATTCATTATTTCAATCCAGAGAGGGTAATAAAATGTCATATGCAAGTGACAATGTTTGTCAAAGACCAATTGTAGTTTAACATTTCCGTGTACAATTTTTAGTTGACCCATTGCAATAACCATGTTAAGAAGTTTACAGTTTCTTTTTAAAAAAGTAAAATCTAAATATTTTTGAAGTCAATACTTTATCTCAAAAGTCTACTGAAAGCCCAATCTAATTAAAATTATATCTTCACATCGCTCCCGTTTACTGATATGTCGCGTTGATGATCTAACAACATCCCGTAGAGGGTCACGTCAGAGGTCAACATGAATGCATTATCGTATTTATAACAAGCCAATCAAAACGCGACATAACTCTTTCTTTCAACCAATCAGAAAGCAGGACCGGTAGCATTTAATGCAGACACCTCGTAGCCAAAAATCCACTTTTTCGTCTGGTCCAGTGATAGTTTGAATATTGCGAAGCCTGTCATTGGTTAATTTTAGTTTCAGGTTGTTAAACTTTTAAACGACAACATCACCAGAAGAGGCAGTCTCTCTTATTTCAAAGCAAAATCCACAAATTGTACAAACGTTGTCTTGTAGATAGACACGGCATGGTGTCATGGGCGCCGCCATTTTCGATGCTCATTTGACACCTCTCGGTCTTTTATCATAGCAAGTGTGTTCCGAAATCATTACATCATCACTTACAGAAATGCGTAAGCTCTTATCTGATTGGTTAATGCAAAGGTCGCCTGAACATGACCCTCAACGGGATGTTGTTAGATCTTCAACGCGACATATCAGTAAACAGGAGCGATGTGAAGATATAATTTTAATTAGATTGCTGAAAGCCCAGTACTGGTTTATTTGTCCATTATTCAATGTTTATACAAGTACAAAAAATGTATTTGAGTTAACAGCAGAATGTTACCTGGCTTTTTCAACTGTGCCCCCAGCAGTAAGGGTCTTCTGATCTTGACTGGCAGCAAACAGAACTTTTGGAGGTCCCATCAAACAGCGTGCATCCCGTGTGTAAAAGTAGTTATCAGAGAGCTTGGCAGACGGGCCATCTGGTAGATTGGGAGGAGGCTGATCTCTGTCATATAAATCAAATAATACAAAATATTTCAGATCTTTATAATATATTTTAAACCAAAACTGTAAGCCACAGATTAGCTCTGTACTCCCTTCCCCCACTCCCACTTCTGAAGAAAAACTATCACATCAATTTGCCTTCCTGAAATATGTCGGACAAAATTTATGAATAGAATTCAAAAAGTAAGATAACGGCTACCAAAATAATGAAATCTAAATACGTGATATCACAATCACAAAACTACCTAGCATACTGACCATGAATACAGTTTCATAAATATCAGTCAAAAAGGGAAGTAGCAGAAGTTTGGACAACATCAGGATATCCAAAAAGGATAAAACATACTGCAATATTTTAACTAATCACAAATGCACAGGTTTAAAGTCTGCTTATTTCATTAGCAGAGTTTCATTCGTCTTGGAGGAGTTGGGCAGAAAAAATTGTACCAACAGACAGACGGACAGACAACTGACTCCAGTATACCTCCATGTGTTACACTCCAGCTGGTGTATGGACAGACAACTGACTCCAGTATACCCACATGTGTTACACTTCAGCTGGTGTATGGACAGACAACTGACTCCAGTATACCCACATGTGTTACACTTCAGCTGGTGTATGGACAGACAACTGACTCCAGTATACCCACATGTGTTACACTCCAGCTGGTGTATGGACAGACAATTGACTCCAGTATACCTCCATGTGTTACACCCCAGCTGGTGTATGGACAGACAACTGACTCCAGTATACCCCTATGTATTACACTCGGACAGACAACTGACTCCAGTATACCCCCATGTGTTCCACTCCAGCTGGTGTATGGACAGACAACTGACTCAAGTATCCCCTCATGTGTTACACTCAAGGTGTGTGGACAGACAACTGACTCCTGTATACCTCCATGTGTTACACTCCAGCTGGTGTATGGACAGACAACTGACTCAAGTATACCCTCATGTGTTACACTCAAGGTGTGTGGACAGACAACTGACTCCAGTATACCTCCATGTGTTACACTCCAGCTGGTGTATGGACAAACAACTGACTCCAGTATACCCTCATGTATTACACTCAAGGTGTGAGGACAGACAACTGATTCAGTATACCCACATGTGTTACACACAAGGTGTATGGACAGACAACTGACTCCAGTATACCCTCATGTATTACCCTCAAGGTGTGTGGACAGACAACTGACTCCAGTATACCCCTCTGTTTTACACTCCAGGTGTATGGACAGACAACTGACTCCAGTATCCCCCCATGTATTACACTCAAGGTATGTGGACAGACAACTGACTCCAGTATACCCTCATGTATTACCCTCAAGGTGTGTGGACAGACAACTGACTCCAGTATACCCCTATGTATTACACTCAAGGTGTGTGGACAGACAACTGACTCCAGTATACCCCTATGTTTTACACTCCAGGTGTATGGACAGACAACTGACTCCAGTATACCCCCATGTATTACACTCAAGGTATGTGGACAGACAACTGACTCCAGTATACCCTCATGTATTACACTCAAGGTGTGTGGACAGACAACTGACTACAGTATACCCACATGTGTTACACACAAGGTGTATGGACAGACAACTGACTCCAGTATACCCACATGTGTTACACTCCAGGTGTATGGACAGACAACTGACTCCAGTATACCCCTATGTATTACACTCAAGGTGTGTGGACAGACAACTGACTCCAGTATACCCACATGTATTACACTCCAGCTGTATGGACAGACAACTGACTCAGTATACCCCCATGTATTACACTCAAGGTGTGTGGACAGACAACTGACTCCAGTATACCCACATGTGTTACACTCCAGGTGTATGGACAGACAACTGACTCAGTATACCTACATGTGTTACACACAAGGTGTATGGACAGACAACTGACTCCAGTATACCCCTATGTATTATACTCCAGGTGTATGGACAGACAACTCACTCCAGTATACCCTCATGTATTACACTCAAGGTGTGTGGATAGACAACTGACTCAGTATACCCACATGTGTTACACACCAGGTGTATGGACAGACAACTGACTCCAGTATACCCCCATGTACTACACCTGGAGTGTAGTACATGGGCGTATACTGGAGTCAGTTGTCTGTCCATACACTCTATGTGTATGGACAGACAAGTATACCCCCATGTGTTACACACAAGGTGAATGGACAGACAACTGACTCAGTATATCCACATGTGTTACACACCAGGTTTATGGACAGACAACTGACTCCAGTATACCCCCATGTACTACACTCTATGTGTATGGACAGACAACTGACTCCAGTATACCCCCATGTACCACACTCTATGTGTATGGACAGACAACTGACTCCAGTATACCCCCATGTACTACACTACATGTGTATGGATAGACAACTGACTCCAGTATACCCCCATGTACTACACTCCAGGTGTATGGACAGACAACTGACTCCAGTATACCCCTTTGTATTACACTCCAGGTGTATGGACAGACAACTGACTCCAGTATACCCACATGTATTACACTCAAGGTGTGTGGATAGACAACTGACTTAGTATATCCACATGTGTTACACACAAGGTGTATGGACAGACAACTGACTCCAGTATACCCCCATGTACTACACTCCATGTGTATGGACAGACAACTGACTCAGTTTACTCCCATGTACTACACTCCAGGTGTGTGGACAGACAACTGACTCCAGTATACCCTCATGTATTACACTCAAGGTGTGAGGACAGACAAATGACTCCAGTATACCTCCATGTGTTATACTCCAGGTGTATGGACAGACAACTGACTCCAGTACATCCCTATGTATTACACTCCAGATGTATGGACAGACAACTGACTCCAGTATACCCCCATGTGTAACACTTCAGGTGTTTGGACAGACAACTGACTCCAGTATACCCCCATGTGTTACACTCATGGTGTATGGACAGACAACTGACTCCAGTATACCCCCATGTGTTACACTCCATGTGTAAGGACAGACAACTGACTCCAGTATACCCCCATGTGTTACACTCCAGTTGTATCAGGACACCCAAAACTAAATCTAACAATACACTTTTTCTCTGATCTCTGTACACAATAAACATGAAACAGTACAGAGTATTTCAGATCTTAATAATTAGCATCAAAAAAATACATCTTACATTCAATTTTCCAGGGATTAGGAAAGAAATAAGGCTTTTTTATAGTTTAAAGATATGTAATAGGACGAGGAATAGTGATAAAGATAGTGCCGTTGCTGGGGCTCGAACCCGCGACCCCGACTCTCCAGCCCGATGCATTACCGCTAAGCTAAAGGGAAATTCCCTACAGCTGACACTTGTAAGGCAACCTAATTTATCCACATCTTTTGCACTATTCCCCACTTTTTTTTCAAATATCAACCCAGGTTCTTTGACTCCCCGCCAAGGGTCTCCTACCTTGAACGGGGAGGGTCAACGGCACCAGTTTGTAATAGGACAAGGAATAGTGATAAAGATAGTGCCGTCGCTGGGGCTCGAACCCGCGACCCGCGACTCTCCAGCCCGATGCTCTACCACTAAGCTAAAGGGAAATTCCCTACAGCTGACGCTTGTAAGGCAACCTAATTAATCCACATCTTTTACAGATATAAAAGATTCTCCTGATAGTCATTATGAATCAAAATGAACTTGTCTGGTGTGACATTTGTGAACTCCTCTATTTAAACTCTAGTTTTCGTAACCTGGTTAATGGAATTTCTTAAACAAACAGGCAAGTAATTAACTAATCCTCATTGTATATGAGGAGAGAGGGACCCAGGGTACTGTATTAAGCAAATTACAGTTTATATGTATATATTTAATATCATATGATCATTCATTATAATGTTAAACATATACAACATATTAAAATGCACTTACCTTGCTGATTGAGAATCTGGAAACCTGTTAGCATCTTTGTAAATTATGTTCTGCAAATAAAAAGTACATTAGCATGAGCATTAATCCTAGACATTCCTGAAGATTCTATTTTTTTAAAGGCTGAATACTGTTGAACAGTATTCAAGTGATGACCTAATAAGACAGTAATGATACGTACATATACAGTAAATCTGCTTTTCTGAGTTAGTATTACAACTACTTGGTTTTATTATTTCTAAATTCATTGTTAAAAAAATCACTTATTCTCAAAAATTAATTCCTGATACATTATGCAAATTAAAATACAAGTCTCTCACTTCTTAAAATCTTTATATGTTATGTCAAAAGTAATAACAGCTGTCCCATGTGAAAGGGATTTGTTAGTCAAAATACGTTAACAACAAAACAAGGAACAGGCTGGATGTAGAAAGAGTTAACAAAAACTTTGATGTCAGACTGAAAGCCTGAGCCTAGTAGAAACACTAAAAGGAATTTCATTGAATATGCCACTGAAAAAGTTGTATCAAGAGTGGAGAGAAGGAAATAAACCGCTCAATGTGAATGAATTACAAGTTTAACAAATGGAAACACTGCAATCAAAATGGTGTTGGTTAGAGTATTTTAGCAAAATATACATACTATTTAATTCTGTTCATTGTATTATCATCAGACAGATTAAGAAATTAAACACAAAACAACTAAAAATATGAATAGGTTATTAGCAAGATTCTATAATACCTAACTTGATCAGTAACTTTTATGAATCCAAATTCAAAACTGATTGTCATAAAATAATTGAAAATATTTGAAGACTATAAACCTTTTTCACAGCAGCACCAAATGTATCATTTTTTACAATATTTTATTATGTAAACATTGAAAACTCTCAAGTTACAACTCATGCTTGTCAATTCTCACTATTTTGGAAGGAGACTATACCGATTTTAGCAAAGCTAGAAGGCGACTGTAATCCTATGTACAATTATAATCTCCCATAGACACTACTCCACCCTTTTTATACAAGTCCCCCTTAAAAAATCCACAACAACCCAGATTCTAACTCCCTGTCCATGGCGCCATAGGAAGGGCCTCATACGTGATTTGTAACATGAAAGAGAGTATAGTGTAATGTACATCTACTTGGGATAGAACCCCAGATCCTTCACTTTCTTGAGCTAAAGGGAAAAACCCTCTAGCTATTAGGCAACCGTAATCCTACGCACAATTAAAATCTGCCACAAATGTAAAATTTTCCCTCTTTTTTTACATTAACATTTTCTGAAAATACTAAATACTACTTTTATGGTTTTGTAATCACAATAGTGACAAAATCATATCTTAATGCACCTTTGTGTCGTTTTCTTTCAAACAATAACAATCTGGACGGTTATTGCTTGAGCACATTTCTGTGCATGATGGAAGAACGCCGTGCAATAACAATTATGGTTGCATGGTGTAAATTGAGGAACATGGCTTAACAATATAACAGTTTCTTGTTTAAGCATATAAACTTGTTTGTTTACTTTGTTTCTATAATCTATCTGTATTTTCTTTGATTTAGAAATGGTGCTTTCTGTGTTTTTGAAATGACCTAAATCGACACATGTAAATTTTCAACAAATATGGACATGGTCCCATATACAGGTAAACAAAGCCACTTTGTAAATGTGAGAAGCGTCGAATGATTGTTAAATTGCACAGTTGTGTACACCATGTGCAGACGGTGAGTTGTGCTGTCATACAATTGTATATAGCTCAATCGGAAGTGTGTCATGTTCCATATTTAATATGTGAACACAGGTGGCTGGACACATGAATATGATGTATATACTATAAAGTGTATACACATCATGTTAGCACAGGCTTTCTTATTCCGTGATTTTAGTGTGAAGCACCTGTGTACGTAGCTATCAGTCAACTGAATTTACTATAAATGGACATGGACAGTAGATTTTGTGGTTCCAGGAAATCCTGTTCGCCCTAGGTTGTTTCGCCCTAAAACAAAAAAATATTAGGGCGAAACATTGTTTGGTATTTTCTTTCAATTAAAGTAGTTTTAAGTCACAAATTAAGTCTTCTTAGTCTTCCAAATCATTAAAATTAATTTCATAAAAAAATGTGTTTGTATTGTTTGCATGTGACAAACGGCTGCTGTGAAAAGCTGACTCCACTCTCACATACATGAATGTACTCTACATGAAATATACCTAACACCAATGTAGAAAGTCATCAATAACTTTAGTTGATGATATATTAAATATTTATCATTATATTAGCGTATAAATTAAAAAATAATGTTTAGGGCGAAACAACCTAGGGTGAACGGGATTAAGGGCGAAACAACCCTTAGCGCGAACGCGTTACCAGATATTGTCAACAGGCAAATTGATATTGATTTCTTCTTGTCTAACAGTGCATAAACAGACATCATAAAATCTAACTTATTTACATGTAATAAAATGCCAGTACATTGTACAATGGTCAATAAAGGACTGTCAGACGATTGAAGAACAGACGTGTAATTGACCATATTTAGGTTCCACACCTTTGTTAGTTTGTTTCTAATCCAAACAATTAGTTTTGTTTGTGCCCGGTTGTCAGTTCCATAGGCCATCTTCTTTAAAGCACTCATATTGTCTGTTTTTCTAAGGTCGTCTTCGAAAACAGCTTAACAGTCCCAAAGAGACTTGCCCAAAGACGAATTGTCAAGCGCCAGCTAGACATTGACATCTGTGTTATGAAAAAGTTGAAACGCCCTACATTAAAATCCGGAAACATTAATTTTAAACAATAAACATGTACCTTAATGCAATAGAAGATTTTATACGGATAAAAAGTATATAAACTTGTTTTAAAAATCAACATTTGTTACTTCTAAAAAAGATAACAATTACAGAGACTGATAATAATATTACACATTAACACGCGAGGGAAAATTCCGGAATTATCAGTCCGAAATCCGGTTTCATTCTTTTCTATCACGCCTTTCAGCATGGACAAATTGCAGCCAGTCAAGTTAGCAAAAGTATGCATTTTATTCATGCCCGACAATAGTTACCACTTTGAAATTAATTCTAATGTGTTCATAAGATGTTTATTGACAATATGAATCAATTCAATGCATAAATAGATCTACAAATTTAGAATTAAACACCTCCCTTCCTGGCACGTGTCTTCCCGGGACACTGCCTTGTGCGCGGTGACGTATTTTGCGATAATTCGACACCAAGGAAACCGATTTTTATCATCAATAATTTATATTGTCAATTTTTGTAATATTTAGAAGTAGCTTTTGATAGAAGTCTGAAGTGTATCTTAGAAAAACTACTGTCTTGAAAAGATTGCTGGAATGGAGATTTAACACTGCAAAGGGACACAACTCATGCAGTAATTTAGGTCTAATTCGCTTTAGGTATAACTTTGATTTCTGTAGTGCCTGTGCAGTGGCTGATCCAGACACCTTTCTGGGGGGGGGGGGGGGGGTGGGGGGGGCTCCAAATTTCCAGATGGGGTTTTCCAAGTGGGAAAAATTGAGGAAAATTGTAAAATACATAATTTTTAAAGAAAATTCTTGGGGGGGGGGGGGGTCCTGAAGCCCACAAAGAAACCTCTGGATCCGCCACTGCTGTGGTTAAGATATCATAACCAGGATTGATCTTCCATAGGCTTTCATATTACTTAAACGCTTCATATGGACAACTTGCATACTATGTTTTATCGAGAGTAATTCAAGTATACACATTTTTATATAATGTATTTTTTCCAACAGGTCACCAAGGTGCTTGGACGCACTGGATCACAGGGACAATGTACCCAGGTAAATTATCCCTAAATAATGGAGCCATAATCAGGTCCAGTACACTCTGCCGATTGAGCTATATCTGTAAAGACGAATAATAGCTCTATTGACCTATCTGAAATAGGTCTTTTGAGCTATTTTCAAGTGATTTTCTTTTTTTAAGGAAAACAAAACAAATTCGCTTTAAAAAAAAGATTGTATCATTAGGTTGATAACAAAACAAAAAAAATAGAAGTATTCTTTTTAAAAATTAATGATGTAAAAAAATCGGATTTTTTTTACATTTATGAAAAATGAAAATAAACATCCAACTGTATGCTTTTTGTAGTCACCATTACCAAAAACCTTATTGTTTTGTGCGACTTTGCTTTAATTTAATGAAAATTGAAATCTGAGAAAAAAAGCTCAATACAGCTATAATTTATAGGCAGGGGCCGGCAAAAGCACTCGTCCGCTCGTCCTGACGAGTGGTTTTTGCCGGCGGACGAGTGATTTTTTACAGTAACTAGTCCGTCGGACGAGTAAATTTTGAAGGAAAAATCAGTTTTAGTAACTTTACTTATCGTTTTTTCTGTGTGATAATAAATGCCAAGCATCTTCGACGCATTATCGTTATTTGTTTTCACTTTTGACAAGATTGATGAATACCGAGTCTAACTCTAATTTACGCTTGTAAAGACCCACCAATGCCATGTCTGGCTCCTAATTATATAAGAAGCAAGCGTTTAATTGATAACATTAAAAACTGATCCATAACGTCCGAGTGTTCCGATGATACTGTACTTGTTATAATGGATAAAAAACGGGACTATCCAAATGATTCAGAAGATGGCTCTGACGACTGAATGTCAATGTGTTGAAATGACTAATTATTTGTGTTTATGCATTACTTAAAAGTAGTTAACTTGTGTTGAACTGTTCACATGCTATTATGAACTATTAAAACAAAACAAACAAATATTAACAGGTTTTGTGACTTTTAATTGTATGCCATACATTACCACATAATAATACATGTTAATTGTTAATATAATAGATACAAGTCATATTATTTAAACAACATTTTAGTATAAAATTTTCGGACAAGTGAATTTTCCATCCGGACGAGTACTTTTTACCAGTCCACTTGCCCGACGGACGAGTGCTTTTAAAAGTTTTTCCCGGCCCCTGGTAGGTGTATATAGCTATATAGGTCTTTATAGCTATATAGCTCAATCGGCAGGTTGTACTGGACCTGATAATTGGTAGCCAAATAAGATGTGCTGTTACTTATATAGGTCATTAGAAAATCATTAAATTTTAGATGGATGGGTCTATTGATTTTCAAATACAGATACATGTTTAGCGGAACTGGACTGGGTCGATCTATGGCGACCAGGTGGCTCAATTGGTAGAGCATCCGTGTAGAGTCCCTGGTTCAAACCCCGGTCTGACCATGCATTTTCCTCTCCTGTGACAAATGTCTAGTGTGGGGCCTGAGGGTACGTACTACTAAATGTATATGAAAACGTGGAATTCTCTGACACTGTTGGTTTTGGAGTTGAAGGTGCTGACAACAAAAATTGAAAATAACATACGCCTCTTATATATCAATAATCAGGTTATTTATTGATCCAAAAACGACCTTATTATCAGAAACTGCTGCTACATTCCGTCAGTAGAGTCCACTCCTCTGTTTTCCAGACAGAAAACGAAAAATATTCTTCGGCCAAATCAAAATATGTGTTTCCTTGTTTAGGCTCCAAATATATGAAAAACATTTTTTTTTTTTCTAGCAGAGAAAATCTCTTGATTACCTCTGAATGTTAAAAATATGTTGTTGTTTTAATAAAGTATGAATGGCACCAAATATATAATTTGTATTCATGTAAAACAATATTTTCCCACCTAAATGCTTATGGAATAACCAATGTACTGGACACACATTTTTAGTAATCCAAACTCCACTGATGGTCACCAGTGTAACATTCTCTTTCATATTACTGATGCTTTTTCCTCAATTTCCAACTGCCACCAGTTCAAATAAGTGCTTTTTAGGTCACCTGAGCTTTAGCTCAAGTGACCTATTGCTATCCGTTTTCGTCCGTCGTCGTCCGTCGTCGTCCGTCGTCCGTCGTCCGTTAACATTTTACATTTCAAACTTAAAGTCAAGTTCTGCTGGGCCGATTGAACTGAAAGTTGATAGGAATGATCGCCTCATGGTCCTGACAAAGTGTTGTTATTTTTCGGGTCGATCAGAAATCCAATATGGCCGCCACGGCCGCCATTTTGAAAACCTATTTCAAACTTAAAGTCAAGTTCTGCTGGACCGATTGAACTGAAAGTTGGTAGGAATGATCGCCTCATGGTCCTGACAAAGTGTTGTTATTTTTCGGGTCGATCAGAAATCCAATATGGCCGCCACGGCCGCCATTTTGAAAACCTATTTCAAACTTAAAGTCAAGTTCTGCTGGACCGATTGAACTGAAAGTTGGTAGGAATGATCGCCTCATGGTCCTGACAAAGTGTTGTTATTTTT